TAGCATAAATGAAAACCTTAGCTGTTTCTGATAAACTGTAATAACCAAAGATTAAAAATTATTTCTGAGTACACCTCTGAAGATTGATGAGATGCGGAATTATCTTCAGTCACGATCTGGAGAATGGCTGCAAGTTGTCTTTGGGTTCAGGGTTTGAGGCTTAGGGTTTGGGATTTAAGGTTTAGGGTTTAGGGTGTTCATTCAAGAACATGAGCTGCACGACACGGCCGTGGCTGGGAGGTAGGGCTTGGGGCTTAAGACCTGGAGTTTTGGGTTTGGGGTCTAGGGCTAGCTATGGCTATGGGTCATGTGGAGTTTAGGGCTTGGGGCTTGGGGCGGGAGCAGTAAAGTCCTTCAAAAACTTTCACAAGCCCTGAACCGAAGCACACCTCTCCCCTGCAAAAACAATTGGTTCTTAGCAGGGAATGGATCCATATGACGATCCCTTGTAGTAGCCCCTATAACCCGTTCCCTCATTCCCTATCAAGCACCAGGGAAATCTGTGAACAAGAGGGCAGGTTTCGGCTGGAGGGTTCAGCTCTTCAGAAGACATGTCAGATGCTAAGCCCTCAACCCTAAGCCCTAACAAACCGAAAGCTTCGCGATGGGCCAAAGGCCCTAAACCCTAAACCCTAAACCCTCACGCCTCTTAAACCCTTGGCATCTTTCTGCCCTCACAGGCCTCGATTGTAAATCTCACGCCTGCAGCGCAGCTGAGCTTTCTGCTGGATGACAAGGGGGTTTGGGGGGGCAGTAGCTCGCAACCGAAGCACAACAAACCACCACTAGTAGCAACACTTCCACGACTTCGAGTGACTTGTACTATAATGCAAATAATACAATAGTAATATCAATGATAGCAATACTGATAGCAATGATACTGATACAAGTAGCAATACCACTAATATTAAAAATGATGAGAAAGTTAACAACAAGAGGAATAATGATAAGAACAACCGTGATATTGCCTTTGCTCAGGCCGAGCACCACGACGGCGAGGATGCCGGGCGTCACTACTGCTGCCCAGCTCTAGCAATGACGATCCTAAACCTCTGCCGAAGTCCTCATCCAAAACACTACTGAACTGCAAGTTTGAGGTTTGGGGCTTTAGTCTGTTGTAGCAAACCCCTTGAAACCAGAGGTCCAACACCGCGAAAGCCCTCCCATGGAACGTATCTCGCAGCCATTCTGCCCATCCAAACCCTGTCCCCATAAACCTTCAACCAGAAAGCCATATTGGGATCCTTTCAAGGGGTCTTTAAGGGATTTAGGGTATTCAGTGGGTTAATAACCCCTGTAGAACACATTAATGAAGCTCAGGCACTTGATCCGCTTATCACCGCCCATGAGGCAGTGGTCCAGTGCATTGAGCTTCTGCTCCTGAGACATTCGTTTCCGTAAAAGGCTCCTTAAACTTGGAGGCCCAGGGGACTTAGTAAGTAGGGTTTAGGGTTTAGGGTTTAGGGTTTAGGGTCTACTTGAAGGCCCAGGACACTTAGTAAGTAGGTTATGAGTAGAGTTATAAGTACCCTAACTGGAGTTGCCCCAATTTTTACGCTACTTATAACCGACTTGCTAAGTCCCCTGGGCCTCCTAGAAGGTGAGGCCTTGGTTCCACAAAAGGCTCTTCAAAGGGAAACCGTAAACCCTAAACCCAAAA